GAAGTTTACCGACGTTTCAGAGGTCATACTGCCTCCATCATCAGGGCGTTCAGTATGAAGATTTCTGTCTTCTGGGTTGTTGCGCCGTGTAGTCTGGTAGATGTTTACCAACGTTTCAGAGGTCATACTGCCTCCGTCATCAGGACGATGAAGATTTCTATCTTCCTGGTTGTTCCGCCGTGTAGTCTGGTAGGTGTTTACCGACGTTTCTAAGCTGCGTACTGCCCCTAATAACAGAGGCATTTATCTTATTTTTGCGTACATTTCTCGGGTCATTATATTGGGACGTTCCTAATGTTTTTAGGACGCTGTGCGTCCGTTCAGCTGTTGTTAAAGAATGCCGGAGTTCATTAAGGCGTTACATGTTTCCACAAAGTTCATGGTATTGTGCTGTATCTCTGTTGACCTGTGTTGCGTAGAAGGTCACGATATTTACCACAGCTTCTTCTATGAAGGAAGAGAGATGTCTAGTGGCGTCACTTTTCTGATCTAGAGGTCCCGCGTCCAGCTGATAACAAACCACAAAATCACCACTGACCTTAGCCCAGTTGGTCTTTCTGATTTGTTTTTTTTTTATTAGAATGAATTTCTCCGACGTTTCATAGACCTTTATATTTCACAGAACAGTATAACGATGTACCGCCCTGCCTTCTAGTGTAGCGACGTTTCTAGGGTCCCAGACGCCTTGCCCCAACTCATCCAATCCATCACCAGACCTAAATGACGTATCCCTGAAATCACTTCTCTAAGAGAGTGTCGTCTGTTTATCTGTTCAAGCAAATTACACGGGGAAAGTGGGAAAAATTATATATTGAAACAGTTCAAAGGATCTGAATTATTGTATATGAAATGTAAATTAAAGTACCGAGTTAAAAATTTGGGTTATAATTTGTCTGATTAGTGTTTGTTATTTCCAGTTAGTGTTTAAAATGTTTGGTTGCTTGATTAGAATTGTTATCTGTTGTTACGTGTTCTTAGCGGATTCCTGTATGAAAAGATAGCACTGAAGTCAGTTAAATGACTGACTTTTTTATGTATTTCCTTAACAGTGTCAGGTTTGAGCAGATTCTGTTTGTACTCACATGGTGACGAGACTTCCTTGTTTCCCGTCTCCTTTCGACTCGGACCCGGAAATGTAGGGTACAAAGTACGTGAACGGTAAAACGTGGTTTGGAATCACCTGAAAGATGAAACAATGAACACGTAAACAAATAAATAGCGAAATTAAGGAGTTATACCTTCTCGGGTTCGATTCCCGGCGGTGCCCGAATTTATAACTTGCGTTGGGCAAGGCCGTGGTCTAGGCAACACGGAGTTTTCCTCCGGGGGCTTCCGCGGTTTCTCCGTGGCATCCCATTCACACACAGAAGAAGGCAATGGCAAACCACTTCTGGATCATCTGCCAAGAACGTATATGAACAGGTCCCAGTCCGAGAAAAGGATGGAAGGATCCTGTTCATATGGACCTGTCGTCAGACAGAACACTAAATAATAATAATAACCTTTCTGTATTTATTATAATTTATGTATAGAACTCTGTAAAAAAAAAATTGAAATTGCGAGCGAACGGGGGCAACTGTGAGATTGAATTATCACTAATTCGAAAGTTAAAAATAATCCTGAGTTTATATAAAAAACGTAGAAACAGTGGTCGGCCGCGGGTTCAGGACCCATAGCCTAGTGGGAGTTAAGGAAACTACTGAAATCCTCATTTAGGATAGTCGGTCTCCTTGCCAAGACTTGAACCCAAAACCTCTAGAATAGGTAACAGAGTTAACCACGTGGTCGCAAATAATATAGTAACAGTACAGGTGATCCTCTATTGAAGAAATCCTATTTCTTGTCTTAATAAATTGATTTCATGGAGCAGAGGCCTTCTTGTGAAGCTAACAGAATTCTTCGACCGTTTATGGAACCAAGTCGTGTTCACAAAGCCCTCCACAGGTCTATATTCGAAGCCTGATGATCTCATGTCACACTCATTTCTTTTTAAGATCTCTCTTAATATTATTCTCCCGTCTAAATTTGGATTATCCAAGTTATATTCCTGCTCAGGTTTCGAACCCAGGTCTTTTTTTATAACTTGCCGTCTGTACGTTCTAATCGCTGCAGTAGATATCGACCAGATCGGTATTTAGCACCAAATATATGATACAACCTGAAGACGGAGATAGAGTCCCATCTCCGAAACGTCGTTTTACGTTTTAAATTTACTAGACGATGGATAATATCCAAGTAAATTTTTATTCAATTGACTCTTCACCATCGTCAAGAAGTTTTAGATTTGATATATGATACAGTGTTCAACAGGTGATAAATATTCGTAAAAATTTCTTAAATAACCGATTGAGCACAGAAGTGAGGATCCCAACAGATTTTACGTTTAGAATGACGTCATAGATGGCGTCTGTCTGTTTTCAGATCTGTGTTTAACGAGACTGGACCAGCTGTTTTTTTTCTTCTATAAAATTAAAATTTATCTTCAGCTTTTCCACGAATGCAGAACTAGCGATAGCATTCTGCAGACTTTACAAAGCCGGGCACTAAGGTCGTTTGATCGTGACCGTGAAATTCCATGTCCGGATTAGAGAAACTGTTAATTTAACGATGCTATATTATTCGTGTCTTTAGATTTTCGCGACTGGAGTTTAAGGCGAGAATCAAATTTGTAGTTCCCTATCCGATATATGTTTAAGGTTCTTTTCCAGGTACATTAATCCAGCAATCAATCTTCGATACCGATGTTAAAAATGTGTAGAGTACACCTGCACTCCCCATACGTCCTCATGACGTGCTGCTTAATTAAACATAGGAACAGCTGTATATTACTTAATACATCTGGTCTGAGTGATTATGTGTGTTTCTACATTCATCACACATTTGGTCAGTGCACCTGTCCCAAGCGACACGCAGTCGTGGTAAGAGACAGCTGTAACCATGTGGTAAGGTGACCGGCCAATCACGTTTCATATGTAACAGCTGTACAGATGGCCGACAAGACGTATACTTCAGAAACCATGCGGGCGGCCCCAAAATTCTCGTTTCACGTTTGACCATCATTTGAATTAGGTTCGAACCCGGCCTTCGGGTATCTGCACACACCTCAGTGACTGACCAGTCTCTGGTAGTATGAGTTAACACTCCGAACAGGTCCGTCACGATCGAAGTTGTTTGTGAGTTTCGTGACCTCCGGGCAGTCTTAACGAACTGTTTCGATAGGAATCGAGCGCACGTGCGGAATTTTCATTGCTAAGTTTTTCCTGCCTTAACATTCTTAATTTTCGTTGTGGTGCGATGGCGGTGGAAATATAACACGAAGAATTCTGCCTGTGTGCTCGCACGAACGTGTCTGTTTCATGTCAAGGTCACGACAATATCAGTCCGAGGGTTAGCCGGATAGAGGCCTTTGAAATTATCAAGGTCATTCGACAGTCAGGCTTTGACTTACAAGTTAAGGGAACCAAATTTTATTCCCTATCCTTTGTCCTTTCTACATTAGTAGTAGTAAAATGTTACCACGTTGACATGACAATGAAAACAGGGCGTGTTTCCAGAGTATGGGGAAACAGTAGTGAAGGATCAGAGTTCTTTGGCCCCGGATTCCGTGCTGGCGTGCATACAGTTCAAGCGGTGTTGGTTCTCTCAGGTTTACTATAATCAGGATATTTAGCGACTGTGCCGCTAGAAATAAAGAGTCGTGGCTGCAGAAACAATCAATGCGGTTTGCCATGCCGTGCCTCCGGCACAGCTGCTAAAAACCCTCACTGTACTCACCAGAGCCGAGTCGTCTAAGGCGTAGGTTCGAAGTTTGCTGTAGTATTGAAACCGGTTGTAGGTTATGGCGGACATTTGGTCCTCCCAGCTGCTGTCGTTCTTTCTGAGGTTGTTTGCGTGGTACACGAACGGCCTCCTGGTCGAACAAGAAGAGGGCTTGTTTCTATAGTCTGTAGTATCTAATTTTGTAGAATTAATTAGTGTTTGGTAATCGTAAACGAAAGTTCAAAAGCGTTAGTACAAAAGACTGGTGTTAGATTCATTCCGATCTATTTCAGATGTTCACAGCTTACTTCTCTAAGATCCGTTTGCATTATAATTCTACCACATGGCTCTCGATATTTCTTTCTGGTATATTCAGACACGTTTCCTCACCTAAATTCTGTGTTTACTGTTTTCTTTACCGTGATTTAAATTCGGCCTTGACTAAATAGTCACAATAATCAGTAATTTTGTAATTGATCTGTCTCCTGTTTTTAAAAGTCTTTTAAAATCCTTGAAAATCACTGCGTTTTGAAGGAATTATCTTTTGTCTTCAGGTAAAGTATTCTGTTGGTTGCGGCAAACGGATCTGATCCCTTGGTGTACAAGATCCAGTAGTGATTTTTAAAATTGTTGCTATTTAAAGGTATTTAAGACTTTTGAGAAAACGTAATTGAAGAAATCCAAAACAAAATGAGTATGAAGATTTCTGTTTTCTGGGTCGTTGCGCTGACTAGACCAGACTACACGGCGCAACAACCCAGAAGACAGAAATCTTCATACTCTGATGAAGGAGGCAGTATGACCTCTGAAACGTTGGTTAACATCTACCAGACTACACGGCGCAACAACCCAGAA